AAACTCCAGCAACCACCCTGCAGCTGCCCCAGGTATGCATCTCCACACCACTTACCTCTGCTGACTGAAGCACGCCCTGCAAGGCCCACCTGACCGAGCCAGTGAAAGTTGAGGAAACACAGGTGATGCTGTGGGGATGGGCTGAGAACAGCTGCCACCAGACCTACAGCACAAGGCAAGCAAACAAGCTCAGCTAGATTCCAGGAACAAATTAGGATGGGTGAGGCTCTGGTGGCACCCCAACATATACAGTGGAGGGACATGAGGTCACAGTCCATCACCTGGTGACATACCACTATTTTACTGTGACATCAAAACTAGTTGCCCAGGGTGCCATCACCCTGTGGAGGCTTGCCCAACCCCTCAGCACACTAGTCAGCACCAGCACTGTACCTCTGCACAATCACCAGGACCTCTGTGGTGTTGCTGTCAGAGTCTCCCAGTAGTCACCCCACCTATCCTAGTGTTCCCTAAGGGCCCTCTCTGATGAGTGACAAAGGTACTCCTCAGAAGTAACCAGCAATTTCATTTCTTAGAAGCAATGATTTCTTCTTTCGTACAAGATTAAGAGAAGCACAAAGCTTTTGTGCCACTTTCACAATATATATAGACTCTGCTATTACGGTTTTATTATTAACAATACACACAGCATCAGCTCACATGCAGTTCTTTGCGCATATAGTTACATATGTATAACTCTCTATTATTAAAATTAAATAACTTAAAGATTAGGTGTATTAGCCAAACTGCACTTAGTATTTTCATTGTTTTGCACTGCCTAGCTTTCAAGCTTTCTGACGTTTTGTCTCTTGTAATTCGGAAACTAATGTGAACTTTTACCTAAGCTTGTTACAGACTTTAGTGTAGCTTCAAGAAGACATTCAGGCTTTTAGCAAAACTCTAAAAAAAAATACAATAATGAATATTTACAGTTTTAATTGATTCTTCAAATATTCTCTTCTTCCTTTGAATTTATGGTAAATACTTCTTTTAAGCAGCATATTTTTAACACGACCATCATTCCTAACCCTAAGGGAACTTTGTTTTTACTTTAAGACTGCTAATCACACACTTACAAAGTACATTTTATTGACCTAATTCTATTCCAGCTCATTAAACACAGCTGCTTTCAATGGTCAGAAAAAAGTAATTGAATACAATATGTGAAAGAGTCCAACGAACTAGAAATGGAGTGGTTGCTCAGAGTCCACAGAGAGGTTTTGTAATTATTCCATTAAAATGCTACGGAACAAGCAACAGTGTACAGGACAGTGTTTGAGGAGAGTACGCCAGCAACTGAATCAGGACTTTCAGAACAACCTACAATGAAAAACATACATTTTTACATGTTTTTGTGAGTAAAAATCTTACTGTCCTAGGCAAGAATGGTTCATTGCCAAGTATTCTGAAATACAGTTAGAAAGTTTCTAACTGTGGGAACAGTGGTTCTTTTCAGTACTAAATTCTGAAGGCTCTGTAACTACAACTTGCTTTTTATCCAAAACCAAGGCAGAGAGAAAAGTGAAATAATTTACCCTATAATAAATATACATTAAAATATACAGTTAGAGTCTAGGAAAAGTTTCATAACTGGAAACAATCTTGATGAGAGTAGAAAAAAGCTCAGCAAGAATAAAACAGAATAATCCAGAAGAATAATTCTACCTATTTCTAGAAGATCTGGAACTGATTTCAGCCTTTGCTTCATGGTCTCCACGCTACAAATCTATATTTTCAGTAACTTGGGATAAAAGCAAGTGCTGGCAGGATAAGGATGTTAATGACCAGAAAGAGAAAATGCTAGACATGGTAAATTTCTGCCTGTCTGCTTAGGCAAATACTTTCATGAGATCAAATCCAGAGACTGAAAAATCCCAAAACATACCCAGGACTATCACGATAAACAGTCTTAAGAGACAGCACTGAAATGTCACTGGCTGGAGGCAGACATTCAAACAAGTGGTTTACTGCAAAAAAGATTTGCAACCTGTATCACACGAGTTTTTCTCATGCTCATCTTTTACTATCTATTTGTAAACTAATCTTTATTACAGCCACTGCCCCACATTAATTATCGCTATTAAGATAAGTGTAAAGTACTTCAGCACTGCTAAATAAAAGAGGTAAGGATCAAACTCAAGCACATGACTCTGGACTGTCAACCCTGCTGACTTCTTTGTAGCTCTATTTAGATGGCTCCAGAAAGTCTCTTAATGCATTTTTAGAGAAGATGCATCCTACACATGGCTTTCCAAGGACATCACAGGCAGCACTGGTACAGGTTTGGCTTCTTTCTAGCATCCTACAAGATCCCCTTCCTACTGGCAGGCACCCTAGCAAGATTCTTCTTACATTTTACAGAGCCAGAGATGAAATGCTACCTGCATTCAGGAGCTAACAGCTTATACTCACAGACATAACACAGGCAACAATCCTTACAAAACACAGACGTGATAAAATGGACCTCAACAACTGACACCACTGCATAATCCACTTCCTGTCTCTGTTCAAATCCTTTTCTGTAGATCTGAACATGTTCAACAAATAGCAGAAGCACACACATTCTTGATTTTACCTCCAATAAAGCCAAAATCCAAATACCCTGAATTTCAACTGTACTGGAAACCTAAATTAGAATTCAAAGAAGTGTTTGGGGTTGCTTGTGACCCAGACCTTAAGCTGATTTAACTGCTATGTTAAGCTGAACTAGCAAGAGTATTTTAACTTGAATTAGCAAAACAGCATTAGGCACTAACTTTTTCAAACATTAAGACATTCTTCAAGCAGCTTTTTGCCTCGTTTATTTAATTCTGTACGTATAACTGTTCCCAAAAAGTCTTCGCAATGAACTTCATACCAATCATCATCTTCATTCCTTTAATTATGTTTTTTATTCTTATGACACCAGAAATGGTCTCCAAAAATTGCCAAAAAGAAGCCTAGTTTGGTTCCTAAAATTAAAATAATCTGTTCAGAGTTTGGAAAAAAAAAATGGGATCGACTCTACAATTCCAGAAAATTTAACTTTTTTTCAATAAATCATCAATCTTAGCTTTCTGGTGCTAAGAGAAGCCTGGCAATCAGATCATGCCATCTAACACCTAATCAGCTGAAGAGCTCTGGGCACCACTGACTGCTCTAACCACCCGCTGCCATCATCCACTGCCAAAATGCATGGGGCTGAGGGCTCCTATGTGGTGTCCACTCCCCCTCCAGGAAGCACCCCAGATGATGGCAGCTAATAGTCCTGCCAAGACCTTCCAGAGGCTCCAGTAAACCACAAATAGTGCTAGAAGCCCACTCATAAATAACCAAACTGGGACTCCTGCAGGCAGCTCTAACACCTATTTTCACAAGTCAGCACCTACATAAATTGTTTACATACAAGGACATATGTTGATGGTAAGACTGTAGACATTGAACCTTCCCACCAATATCCCATTACATGTTGTTGCTGTGTGATAGATGGCAGCAGAGGGTCAGTCTGACAGAACGGTGTCTGACATGGTAGTGCGTATGAGGTGTGTCACTGAATTCCTTCACGTCAAAAACATGTCAAAATCATTCATCAATGCTATTTGAACTTCTGTGAAGCTGAGTGGATGCGGGTTGGGTGGTGCATTTCAGCAGTGACAGTGGGTCACCTCTGCTGGTGAAGAATTTTACAAGCACAAGATGGAGGTTCTTGTTTGTCACTGACAAAAACGCACAGCTAATAGTGGTGATTATGTTGAAAAACAGTGTTTTGTAGCTGAGAATTTGCTCTATCAAATAGTGTTTTTGTGCTCTTTGTTGTAGTTTCCATGGCAATTAACAGAAGGCATTACTTTTGGAGTGACCTGCATACATAGGTAACCACTACAATTGTTTTCTCGAGGCAACACATTTCCTCCCTACTCTCATTATGCGAGTGAACGTATCGCACCAAAATAAATGACGATGCCAAAAGTACAATAGTTACACCAGACTATGGATGAAGAAGAGCACAGCGACAATCAACCTATCGTTCATACTGATATTACTAACGCATGCAATGAGCACCAAACGTTTATGTTACTGACCAGGATTTTTTTTTTTTTTTTACTTGCTTGTTTTCAGACAAAATATCTGCATTTGCACAGAATTTGTCTAAGCAGACTTTCCAACAAAAGCATTTGCTTTCTTTTTGGTGAAGGTTATGATAAAAGCTTAAACTACAGACAATTTAATAAGGCCTTGGATACTGTTACATGTACTGGTGACCTAACTACAGTATCATAATAATAACAGATAATCCTAAATTTAATACAACGTTACAGAGTGCAGTTCACAAGTCAGTCTGTCAAAAGCCCTACTTTGAAGTGACTCCTGTAGGAATAGATATAAAATCGCTAATCTCTGCTTGCAGAATTAAAAAAAGCTTACACCAATTATCTTAGAAGAGGTAGAGACAACTGACATTTTTAAGTAAGGCGGACGTTAATTCAACTTTTGCTGTATATAGAAGTCAGTTTCTGTCACGAAAGCACTGATTCACATTTACTAATCCACATCTAAACGTGAATGGATTTTACACACGGGATATTATTAATTATGCGCTTAAAGAATAAAAGCATTTTCTCTTGTCCCCAAAAACAAAAATATCCATGCATTGCACTTTCAGTAGTACGACTGAAATCAACTGACACACAAAACTGGAAGAAAACAAACAAACAAAAATCCAGGAAGGTGCTTCTCATTACATTCATGATTTCCACTTTCAAAGTTTCATTCTCAATACAACGCTACGATGCACTCAAATTTCAATTATTTAAGATGTGACATCACTAGGAATTTTATCTAGATAACGTGTAGAATACGTGCACACCTACCGGCTGCAGCCGTGCCAATCCTCCCGTGCCATTCGGCGCTCACCCCACCGCCCGACCCACGGCTCTCCCCGCCTGTCCGGCGGCTGAAGAGCGACTCGCAGCTCGCTGCTGCCGCCGCTCCTTCCCGCGGGGTCCCCGCTCTCCCCTCACCTGCCCGCGGGAACTTCGGGACGCTCTTGAGGGAGCCGAGCTGACGCAGCTGGAAAACTTTCCTGACAGCCTCGCAGCTCCGCGGCTCCCCATCCCGAGGGGTGGGGGTGGCCACGGCGGCGAGCAGCAACAGGAGGACGCCGAAGGCTCCGTTTCCTCACGCCCGTCAACCTTCGCAGAGAGCGCGGCTCAGAAGCCCCAGAGCCTCGCGCTGCCAGCCAGCTCGCCGCTCGCTAGCGCCGCCCGCCGCCCCCTGCAGGCGGAGCCTTCCCCAAAGCCGGCGGTGCTCCCCGCCCGCCCCGCCTGCGAGGAGGGGACCCGGCGGCGGAAGGGTACTGCCCGCAAATGAGGGTGAGGATGGATGCTGAGAGACACCGCAGCCCGGGGTCATCACACTAGAATTAGGAACCCCCCCCTCCATGAATTCATTTTAAGGGCATGCTCACCAATACAGCTGGAAGCTTTTTTATTTTTTTCTTAGGATGTGAAACTGTCCGTGATCATCCAGCGTGCTGCTACAGCACGAGTCTGTCCCAGCTTTCACTCCAATCCCATATCTGTGGCAGCAAATTAAACATAAGACTACAAAACTGTGAAGAACGTGTGAATTATTCTGAGCACCCATGTGAATAAGTGTAACAAAACAGCACATCAGCTATTAAAACTTGCGTTAGAAACAAACTGCTTCGCTGCTGAGCAAGGCAATAAGGCATTATGTTAACATCTAACCTACTGAGTGACAGCTTAATTCATGACCTGTGCAGAGAACTACTCTTCCCTTTCTCTCAGCCATTTGTACTCTGGACCTGGCAATTTCCTTCAGTCAGCAAATTCCAACATACAATATTTGAAATGTCCTTTAACAGAATTTGTTCTACTTTCTTACACAGCTGATAAACAGAACCATGATGTATTTATAATACATATAATACATAAGGACTGAACAAAGAAAACAGGTTACAATCTTTCGATAAAGCAAACTACAGCAAAAGAGATTTGGGGCTCTTCATATGGAAAAAGGTGGAGGAAACAGAACTGCAAATAAAACAATGCGGTTTCAGCCAAAATAGAAATAATTAACAATTCAGTATCTTGTCTGTACGCTGTTAGTAGATAGCAAGTCCCTTGCCACTCAGTAAAACACTTGTTCTTAAAGAGAACACTTTTGAATATTGAAGAGTATAACTGGAGAAAACAATTTGGATTTGAGAGGCAGGAAGCATAGGATCTTACTCAGCAGCTTGAAGATGGTAGAGGAAATCCTGGGAACCACAAAGTAATTCCTCAACATCCAACACAAGACGCATTTGTTCACAATAAAGATACAAAGATAATTTATTAGAAAAGAGGGGAAAAGTCTTGCCAGATAAGAAATACAGACAAATATTCTTTTTAAAATGTGAGTTTCTTGAACTGTATAAAAGTTCACCATCAGCAACAAATGATCCCAGAGCCCATGGATTTAAAGCAAACTGGCATTTTATCATATCTCCTATTGGTAATGAATCACAAAAACTTCTATGCTCCAATTCTACAGGTTAAGGGAAAAGACTGGTAAGAAATTGCATTTTCATATATTTTTTTTTCTCTTGACATACAACACTAACTTAACTACTTACATACATTGCTAACATTCTTCTTCAGACCGTTACCTTGCTTGTAAGCACTGAAAACCTTTTATTTGGCTGTGCTATCCTCCCTGTATCCCTTTAAATAGCTGCTACAAAAACAATTCCCATCCCATCCATGATGCTAATTTCCAAAAGACTGCAGCACCTGCCCCAGTTTCCAGCTTCTAAAAGGAAGAAATACTTTCATACTATCTCCTATTTCATTTTAGATATCTAAAAGTAGTTCAAACATCTGTTAAACTTTAAGTCATTCTCCTAAGTTCTCTCAGTCATGAGTCCTATCTTAATTTTTACATACATCACATCAATTAAGGAAGTTCTTATTAAAACCATGGACTGTGTGTTCACTACTATGTTCACATCACGTGCCTGTGGAAAATTCAGGTACCTACTTCTGGACTAATCCGCACTCCTCCTAAACTCCTCTTGGTTCTCATGCTGTCCTTGTGCTTTGAACTTAGTGGGGGAACCCAGCACTCACATGGAGCTCCTTGAAGCTTTAAAATCAGCAGGGAATGAAAAAAAAAAAAAAAAAGCCCTTCCCCACCCCTCAGTTATGCAGAATTACTGTACAGTTGCTACAGTAAGTATATAAAGAAAATTCTCTTATCTTAGGTTGGGATAATTAAGCTAGAAGACCTGAACTAAAAGAGCTGTGCACCATTTGGATTCATAGCACTATCCTGCTCTGCTACCAATGACCCCATAAACTTATGAGGCCAGTAAAACTTCACATGCATCTCTAAGTTGACCTCATCTACAGATCCATTAACTGCTTTAATGAAAGTTCATCTCAGCATTACAAAAGTTTGAGAATTTATCTACAAACACAGGTCAGAGTGAGAGCTTTCTTAATGAATTAAGAAATTTTAATTATATTTTTAAACAAAAATGTTAACATTATTTGATTCTTTGTGATTATAGTGGATTATCAGCTGTGACCTCATAGGCAAACAGTTGAGACTACGCTAGGGAAATAACTGCAAGTCACGAAGGAGAATTGTAGACTATCCTCCCTCCACATTACAAATGCTATTCTACTACTATTCCACATTTTAACCTAAACTTTTATACTTACCCACACTGCATTATGCCCCTACCACTCCGTGTCCCGCTTCCCCATCCCTGCATAACTCCTTGCGTGGTCCTCATCTTCACAGACAAATCAACAAGCCGGTGCCCGCCGCCGAGGACCTGAAGCACCGCTGCTTTTGAACTGCTGCCTGACGCACCGTCCAGCGGCCCCGGAGCACGCAGCCAGCCCCGCTGCCGCCCGGCGCGTAGCCGGGAAGCCCAGCGCACAGCGACCGCATCCGGCTTCTGTCGAGCGCCTCCGCCGGCAGCGGGATGGGCGGGGGGAGAGCTCCCTCCTACTTTTTTTTTTTTTTTTTTTTTTTAAATTACTGCTGCTTCCTTTAAAGGGAAAAGGTTTTCAAAATGCAGGTATTGCATCTTACTCGTTTAGAAGGAGCTTCAGCTTTTCACAGTGATTCAGAAGTTCAAGCGTTTGCTTAGGAATATTGTACCCAGTATGTAATTACGTATGTATGTTTTCATAAAGGTTTTATTTATTAAATAATTTATACTCCAAGTCTAGCTCAGCAGTTTACTTTAAAAAAGTACTTCTCCTTACTGCTAGGTACAGTGTTCCCATAGGGACTTTCTCAGATATTCTAACATTGAACATTCTTAATCACATTTCCTCTTGATTAATGTCACTTGTCTTACTTCTTAGAAACTTGGGTCTGTACAATTAAAACACTGTCAGACAATAACATCTGAACTGCTCCCTAAGAGGAGTAACCAGTAAAGAAGACTGCAACAAAGGAAAGTAGCAACTTACAAAATATTCACATGTAACAGAATAAGAAGTGTCACGTAATTGGCATTGTTTTGCAATATAATCCTAATATGAAAAAACACATTCAGCATCACTGCTTCAGTCTAGCATCAGCAGTGGGGGGGAGGGGGAAAATATCATATACTTCAGTTGGTACTCAAGTATTCTTCGAAGCATGTGCAAAAGATTAACAAACTATTTTGGTCTCCTCTAAGCACATAAGGCACAGAGAATAATTCTTCCCTATTAAGTTATAAAATATTCAAGTTCTATTGTGCCTAGAGATGAGAATTAATTTCCCTTAGTCCGTATGTTTGCAATACTTTGACTTATTCAGAACAATGATGTTCAAGGAGATTCTGTGATCAGAAACCTGTTCAACAAGAGGCAGCATACTTATAAGTTATCAGGTATGTCACAACATGAGTATTTATGCATACATTAAGCAGCATCACTCAACTTCTGTTATTTACTGTTGCTCTCACCCACACAACTTGCAAACAGTTAACTCTGTAGCTGATGCTCAGCTTTTCAGTTTTTGCAGGTACAGAAATAGTTTTTCATCTATTCTAGGAGGCATAAGCTAAAGGACTTGCATATAAACAAAATACACTCAATCCTTCAACTTCCTGCAACTGCTACAATACACACTCTTTGTTAGCATGCCCTATTTTTTCCTCAAGTGAAATAAGAGGACCAAAACATGCAAAAAGGAGCAACCTGCAACAGTAACAAAAAAATAATTTTACTTTATACATTTCATAAATTTCAAACAAAAGTGAATCATAAGACTGTTAACTGTGTGTAAATCTTAGCTATACAAGCTATAAGGTAAATACTGTAAGGTAAATAAGGTAAGCTAAATCCATTCTACTTAAAACAGCAGAGTAAAAATTAAAAATATTTTTAAAAATAGGTCTCCTGGGACATTTCATAAGACAATAAAACCCAGGTTACGACACCCTTCACTTCTTCAGATCCTATTTTACCATAGTGACTCACTCTAACTAATCATACACATTCTGCAAACCAATGCTCAAAGACAAAAGGTCCTTCTTCATGTCTCTGCAGTCTTCAGTATACAGCTACCATTCTTTATACCTTGCTGTACCAGCAGAGTTGGAAGTTAGTTTGCCTACAACATTACTTCAGCCATCACAGGCAAAAAAAAAGTTTTTACCCACACAGGTACAACCCTCAGCTCTCATGTTTTCAAGGAAGTATGGCTTAGAGTTCACAGAAGTTATTCTACCACAGCTCTCAAGTTTTATTCAGCACTGAGTTTTGCTCAGAGGGATCGACTCCATTCCTTCCAACTTAGAGTCTTAGTTCCAGATTCATGAAATCTAAGTCAGGCAATTAAAGCCTGAATCTAGCACTGAATCCAGAATTTAGTAATTCAAAATCAGGGCAAATCTAGGCAGCTAGAAGTCATTAAATGTTTAAGTTTCCATCAGCACTGACTCTCAGACACATCTGTTCAGAAGCAGAAATTTAGTAGCTACACCCTACCAGTGCTGACCTGGTGATGAGGTATGTCACTACTCCCATCTGAATCCGTAAGCTAAGTGAACCTACTAAATCTAGAGTTCAGCCCAAAGTGCAATAATTTGGTCACATGTAGGGAAGTATCAAAGAAAGCAGGTGCAAGCATCCTCATTTATTTTATTATCACTAACACATTCAAGATGAGCATTTGCTTGAGTAATTCAAACTTTCCACATCTCTCCTGAGAGAACATGAAGGGTATTAGTGCATTTGCAAAGTGACAGGGCGTCGCAGTCTTTCTAAGGTTACCCCAACACGTACTGTAACAGCTGAAGCAACTGGACTGAAATGGAGCAGAACTTCACCAAGTTGAGGTACTAGACATCAATTCTGGATTCCAGTCTTCTCTTACTGATAAAGTATTTTGTCTTTACCTGCTAGCACAGACTTCTTTCTACACTAAAAGCAAACAAAATAGAGATCTAATTTTCTACTGAGTCTGTTGGCCTCCCTAACTACCTCACATGCTCTCCTTATAAATTAAGGAATTTACACCACTACACAAATCCTTTATGAACTCGGTAACGAAATTTACAACACTAGAAATCAATTTCCAACCATATACTTCATAAAAATCACACTCTGTAATTGTGTTAATGTCCATCTGCCTCTAATAACTTGTTAACAGGTACTTCCTTGGTATTACAGATATGGGATATGAGAAACATCTCAATTACATAAAGACTCAAGTGGAAGTTGGATTACTTCGGATAACAAAACTGACTGCAGTACAACTAGGTTTCATGATTCTGCTGCCCATTAACTTCTTCCTAGGTTGTATTTCTAGTACACTACCCAATTTAGCATTAAATAAATGAAACTAATGTATGGAGATAAGCCTAGGTCCTCCTTATTAAATAAATACATCATACCTACAGAGATACTTAGGTACCACCAATTCTTACATCACAATTTACTGCAACACACACACAAAAAAAAACCACCTGTATTTGCTTCTAACATAGGAACAAAATCTTTTATGAGAAGAAATTGTGCCCAGCTAGTAAGCAGACTAACTCAAGGCATACCCTGGGAGACCATCTCTGAAAACTGCATTTATTTCCCAGCTTGACAATAGCATTAACATACATTTCATGGAAACTATCTAGTACATGTGAGCAAATATCTACTTTGGCTCTTACAAAGCCATTGTACAAATAGGAATTAGATATTACAGCACGTAAACACTTTGAGAGGTTGGCCTACTGTTAATCACTTCGTGTTCCAGAGCACTGTAAAGACAATGGAGGCATGTAAGCTTAATCTCAAGCTTCAGCAGAATTTGAGTGCTTCTTAGAAAGGAGAAAAAAAACAAACAAGAAAAAAAACTGGAAAGACCTTAGAAGGTCTCCACAATTCCTGTAAATAATATACCTGTAAAAGTATCTCAGCCTCCCCTTCCACTGCAACTCCTGGATGACTTTAAAGTATGTATCTATATAAAATATATAAATCTTAATGTTTAAAGCAAAAAAAAAAAAAAAAAAATGAGGTTGTGTGTTGAATGATACATTTTCCTTGGTGTCATTTTGCTAGAGTTTATTGTCTGACGAAATATTACTAAGATAATATGATATTATACATAATTCCAAAATGGAATACAAATTCTGCTCAGCAGGGCTGTTTCTATATTTTTGTTTGTGTATTTTTTGCCTTCTCCAGGAGACAGAAGAAATTAAAAAACAAAGGGTCTTCCAAAAGAATTTCATTTGCAGGTGGCAACTGATGTCTCCCACTGCAACTACCCCAACCTTCACCCCAACAGAATTCCATCAGTGCATAATATTTAATCATACAAAATTAGAAAAATAAATGCTACAAACTGCAGTCACGCAGATCTAGGTCACTGCATTCATGATTTCATAGGTGCCATGTTTTGATGGTTTTTCACATCAGTGGATCGGTATTCTATATTAGAGCATCAAGTAGTGCACTGGGAGTTAAAGAGTTAATGTTGCAGTTCTGTGCATTGATGATATTTCCAGTCTTTTGTTCTCAAAAGAGAAGATTGAACTACAACTCCCAGAGGACTTCATTTTTCTATTTCCATTTAGAGGGAAAGAAAAAACTGACCGGGAGTCATGAGACTTTCCTCTTTGTTCCTTGGCAGTTTTTCACCTGCAGTATTAGG